ATAATAATTTGATCTAATTTTGAATATAGATAGGGAGATCTGAAAGCATTTAGGAAAGACATTTGCTGGTTTTTCACTACGTTCAACTTAATCAACTATATGAAGTGGTTTAAAACAATGCAAGTTACAGATCTGTCATGGACTATGATGGAAACAATTTTTTAAAAGTGTTCCCATGTACCAGATATAAATGGAAAACCTCAAGCTCATTATAAGAGCTCTCACTGGAACATGAGAATCTAAGCGCATGAAACTAAAAAAATAACACCTAATAACACCTAGCACTTTAAAATGCTCCATGACCAGTCTATTCAGTATCATACTTTGAAAAATGTTTAAAAGTAAGTGTTAAAAATTCTTCAGCCTCTTACTTTGTTTTATAGTCTCTACCCAACACTTCTGTCTTCTTGACTTAGGCTGGCCACTACAGGAAGCTGTGTCTCTGCCTCTAAAAAGGTAATAGACAAAAACACTCAACACCATTACAAATCCTTCAGGGCCAAGTATGTATATTCTATAAAACATGGGTGGTGGTAAGCAGAGAGAAGTCATCCCACGTAACTTCATATGCCTTGAAGCAAGGTGAGCGAAAATGAAGCTCCCACATCACAGTCAGCAGAATCACAATCAATCCCACCTCCAGAGGGAGACTAATACGACTTTTCTCAAACGCCTTTCCTCGAACGTGATCTCTGTCTACAGGTGTCTGTTTTCCTCCGATACAGATGAATCCTATTCCAAGGGTGATATTTTCCCATTTATGACTTTCAAATTAAGCACACTTACAAATACGACCAGCTTTGAACAATGTAGCAAGCAATAGGCAAAAAAACGAAGATTATTCCACCCTACAAGAACTTGTGAAACTACTTTTGAAACCACTACAAAAGTGGTTTATTAGCCCTCTTCTAACACCGTATTTTTGTAAAATCAAACTACAACACTGAACTACTTTTCACACAAATGCCATAACCTAAAGCTATGAATGACCAAACAATACATAGCTCCTTTTTCTGCAAGCCTGAACCTCTCCACTGTGTTCTATTAATAGCTAACATACAGGTAAATTGTGTCACCTGCACACATCTGGTTTTCACAGCTAGATATTGAACGGAATTTCATCTGAAAATCAATTGAGGAAGGCAACAATCAAGGCCTACTCTGGGGCAACTGAAATTAAAGATGGGTTTATAAAGTAGTAAGGGTCAAAGAACAAAAAAGACCCATTCCCAGAACAAAAAAAAAGTGTAGAACGATTCTGGCCACAGTGCCTGACTCCTGCCCCCAGTAACACAACAGCGACTGACAAAGCAATTACTGCACAAACTAAACCAAAGGCTAATCTGTCCTTTCCTCCAATACAGGGGGGAAAAAAAAAAATCTGTATTTAAATACACATTCATTAAAAACAAAGCTAAATGAGCTAAATTCACCGATTACTGTTCGTAGGAGAGCTGCCAGGGTAGGAAACAAGAGCAACGCATCCTGAGTGAGACTGGCAGTACCCTGACCCAGCCAAGGGGAGGATCTGATTCCACAGCTTCTGGCTGGAACTGGCCACCGTGTAGCTGAGCATGCCGGTTTGCGTGGCCACAAAGGAGGCAAAAATACAGGCTGCCCCTGGAGGCTTCTTTTTC